TTCAAGTGGTTGACAGTGGTAGCTAGGCACCATCTACTTCTTCTGGTCTCAGGGTCATATAGGTTGAGGTTCGCATGGTCCACTAGCCCCTTGGACTATTTCCATGTGTCTTTGTTTTCCTCATCCTTCTCTGTTCCAGATGAGAGACCAATTGCTGCATTCCGATGGCTGCTTACAAGCTCTTAATACCCCTACTCACCAAAATAGGATGTAGAACAATGTTCTTTGTGTAGTATTTTATGCCAATTGAGCTTGATGTCTCCACGACCATGACCCCGAGCCCACAGGCCCAACAATTCGCTCCCTCAGGATAGCTGACCGTGACTAAGAAGTTATCATAACTTTGCCCTATTAGTTCTATTTATATGGATATTCTTATAGCATATATGATGAACACATATGTAGAAATATCTTCTGCCAAGTTTATATATGGTCATGGGTATATTCCCTTTTGCCTAGACATACCTGATCATTGCTATTGTGTTGATCACTCACTTTTGTTATACTGCCTTTCCCTTCACCCAAATTAATACTCGTCTCTTACCTATCTAGCAATTTTCTCTCTCATCCCTGGTAACCAGCAAAGAAAGTTTCCTTCCATATATAAATTTTTCCTTTTCACAACAGTGGACTACTACAATATTTATATTATTATATAAATATATTTTGTTGTAACTAATTTTTATTTTATGCTTTTCATCCTTATGCAACAATTGGTCTCTCCTCATCCGGAGCAAAGAAGGATGATGAAAACAAAGACACATGGAAATAGTCCATGGACATTTAAGAAGTGTATATATATTAAGAATATATATATATATTTATATTATTAGATTTATATTTAGATTCTTAGGCAAATAATACACATTACATGTTTTTCTGCCAACTATGCACCCCCCCCATTTATTTTCTTAAGTGCACTATGTTGCATTATATGCGTGGGCATGTTATTTGCAGGATAAAATATGGTACACAGTCAGTTCTCATGGCTTCACCAAGAGCTTTTTATTCACAATCTTTGGTATATAAAATATTCCCTTAGTAGAAGAGAATTATATTTCCTTTCAATTTGCAGTAAGTGTATTTATTGGAATAATTTAGGGCCCAGCTACCATGCCTTCAAATAAATACTACATCATTATTCAGAAAAAGAGTTAATTTATAGTGATTAAATTTCCAGCTGTATCCAGCTTAACACAAGTTCTGCATTTCTATTACTTTGAAAAGTGATTCTGGAAATTTCCTAAATTTTCTTGAAAAAACATCTACTGCCAACTTTAATTCTTACCAGCTGCTCTGCGGAAGGAAGATGGGGCAATCTACTCCTGTAAAGATTTATTGCTTCAGAAACCCATGAGGGTTGCTATGAGTCAGAATCGACTTGATGGCAGTGAGTTAGCGTACACAGGAAGGAAAGTATCCAAAAGGCATGCCACATCACAAGTTAGCAAAGTGAAAGAATGCCAACAGGAAAGGAAAGAATAGTTGGCATGATGCTAGGTTTACATGCACAAAATGACACCACACACTACAACCAAGTCAGATAGTCTACAGATTTTCAAAGCTCTAAGAGTCACCACACACAAGAGCATCAGAATGACAACAGCACTTCTTAAATGTTCATGGACTATTTCCATGTGTCTTTGTTTTCCTCATCCTTCTTTGCTCCGGATGAGGAGAGACCAATTGTTGCATAAGGATAAAAAGCATAAAATAAAAATTAGTTACAACAAAAAAACCCTGCTCTTACTATCAAAGTTTAGTCAAAAAGGAAGACTGAGCTTACAGAACAAACCTTGCTCCAACAGCACTTTATAGAAAAAAGCTCACATATTTAAAAACAGTTAAATATTATTTTGGATCAACAGTAATATTAAAAGTAATTGGTAGATATTCTCTAGATATCTATAGGAATTGTTAGCAGAGACTATGAAAAAATGTAAATATAACTCATACTTAAAGAAAATGTAGTGCTGGAGAATTTACGAAACATTACAGACTTATTCTCGTGCACTCTGGAGATGAAGCAAATAGATAAACATTATTTAACAGAAAATTAAATTTATGAGACCGCTAACAACTCCCTAAGGAGGCAATTGTAGAGCTATGTGTTTATCTCTGGCTAGACACTCCTGCATGCCCCCAAATTAATGTAAAAATGTAAATATATTTTATACAGGCAGTTGAAATAATGCCAACCATGGAAAGCTATCCCTAAAAATAAGCATTGTTGTTGTTGTCGTGTGCCGTCGAGTCAGACCCGACTCATAGCAAACCCCTCCTCGGGTTTCTGAGGCAGTATCGCTACGGAAGTAGATTGCCCCATCTTCCTTCAGAGGAGTGGCTGGTGGGTTTGAACCGCCAGCCTTCTGGTTAGCAGTCAAGTGCCTTAGGCACTATGGCACTATGCTACCAGAGCATATTAAATATTAACTTAAAAAATGGTGTTGTGGCCAAGAGGTTTTTTTTTTTTTTTTTAAATTCCTCAGAATGTCAGTAAAATTATTTAAATATAGATGAAGTAAAAGCTCTGGCTCATACAGCAATATTTTTTCTAAATTTAGGATCTATTGAACCAAAAGGTTAGTTTGAGGAGACAGTGAAACAACTCACTGAAAGTTAGATTTGGAGTCAGGATACATGAACTCAACTCCCTTGAAAACCAGCACACCACAGCATGCATAACCTAAACCACTAGGCCAAATGACAGCCCACATACATACCACTCCACTGTGGAGGACCTATAGAACAGATTGTTAGAAGTTAATGAACTTCAACAAATACTTTCACGGACACAGAGAAAGTATGTTGGAAATCACAAGTCACTTTTTATTAACTTGATTACATGAGTTTGCAATCAGATCAGTTTCAAGAGATTTGATTCAGCAGATTTTACAAAGCCTATTTCTAAAATAACTTCATAAACTTCTCCCTTTCTAATTTATTTGTTTCATACTTCTGAGTATCAATTTATATTAATTTGCCTTTTTACTCTTCCTTTTTTAAAAAATTTGTCTTCATGAAATCATTCTTTGGTGTCTAAAAGGTTCCACGCTGGCAGTTAGGTTCTTGAATAAAGTAAAAATTTAACTTTGTTCTCAAAGTATGCTTTTTTCATGCCTGCGTCTTTTTTTTTGTTTTTTTTGAGGTAATTCAATTGAAAGGTATAGCCTAATTTGATGTTTCAAAAGCAGCCAGAATGAAAGTGCACCTTAACCTAAATAACAAACCATATCAAATTCCTACATCAACTCTCTATTACATTCAGGTGAGAGGGGAGCAGTAGGACTGGTCCGATAATGTCAAAAGTAGCTTATAAACTCATAAATGCAGAGCACTCAGAGAAACAGACATCGTGCTTTCTTCGGTAATGCAAGGTAGGTGGCAGCATTGGAGGAAGAGTCAAAGAACAAGTTCAAGTCACAAGACCTACCACCATCTGCACCAACAATAACTGCTACTGACTCGAGGAGCATTTAAAAACAACAGGAGCATTGTGGCCAAGATGTTTTATTTATTTATTTTTTTAAAATACACCAAAATTTGGAAATGCAATTTTTTCCACATAGTTAAGATAAATTAGCATAATGCTAGTTTCAGTGGAACTAGCCCTATGTTTCCACAAAAGCAATGATGAACTTAACAGTTGTTATTTATTTGTTTTCACATAAGGCTATATGTAAGGTATTGCAGGGAAGAACCAAAGCCCTATCTTTTTATCTGAATATTATTAAGAGACCAGTGCTAGTGCTAGTATAATGTTTACTGAACATATGAAGCAATCAATTAACCACTAAAAAACATAAGCAATGAGAAAGATACAGGTAAACCAAACACTGAATTTTTGCTCTGCTATACTGTTTATTCTGAGTGAGCAAAAGCTAGGAAGCAAGAAAAGCAGTCCTGAACGGACATAGTTAGAATTACTGTATCTGCATTTTATTGTGATAATTCAGGCATAAATAAAATGCTTCAGATGAAATATCAGATCTTAAAAGGCTGCAAAGGTGTCATGCTCTCAGATACCAAAAGACAAATTTTACACTTTCTCCAAGAAAAAAGTATTTCAAAATTAATGGAAAGACTGACCTTATTTACATTCTGGAAATGCTTATCAAAAACCCACTGCCACTGCAGACTGCCACAACTTTCTACCCTTGGAGTAGGTGGTGCATTCGAACCACTGATCTTTCAGTTAGCAGTTGAATGCTTAACCACTGAGTCACCAGGCCTCCATACGATAGTGATGAAACCCAAAACCAACTTCAAGGCCTTCAAGTCGATTTTAACTCATAGTAACCCTGTAAGACAGAGTAGAACTGACCCAGAGGGTTCCCAGGGCTATAAATCTTTTAGAAAAGCAGACTGCCACATATTTCTCCCACAGAGCAGTCAGTGAGTTCAAACTGCCAATCTTTAAGTTGGGGGCTGAGCACTTTAACACTTCACCACTAAGGCTCCTTAAAATACTGATTAGGGTGATGATACTTAAATTACAACTTCTAAATTGTAAAGAAAACACCTTTAATGGTTATTGCTAGATTAAACGTTCAGGCAACTACAATTTTTTATTCTAAAATAGAAGATGGATTTTCATCAAGTTAATCTAAAACTTTTTAATAACAAACAAAACCTTACCAAGCTTTTTAGTTATACAAAAACAGTAACAGACATGGCAAACTGGGCCAAACTAGTCAGTCATAAATTCAAACACTCTGCTCAAGAAAAGTTTCGTGTGACTATGTATAACTAATATAATGGAAATGACCACAAAAGATTTAAAAGAAAATATAGATCAAAATGTCTGAACAGAGCTAAAAGTTACCTTGCCTTCGTAATTCATTTTTAACAGCTTCAACACCTCCTGTTTTTTCAATGAAGTCATATATAACTTTCGATGTTTCTCTGTCTTTAAGTTGTGCCTCTGAGATTCCACACATATCAAAAAGATTCTTCAATTCTGGATCCAAATTATTCAGCTATAACAGACAAAATAATTGCTAATTATAACATCTATAACAATTTTAAAAATATGAGTATGATAAAACTTAATTCTCATTTATGAAATTATGCCCTTTAAGAAATTATTTTTAAGTTTATTTTAATACAGTTACATTACTTATATGCTAATTAAACTTTGTAATTAAAAAATAAAAATAACTAGAATGGATAAGCAGCGTCAATTTAGTATTTTATTCCGTTTTGTGTTCCCTGCCTTCAAGAAAGGGACCTCATTCAGACTCTTACTAACTCATTCAGGAGTTGAGTATCTCCAGTGCTCTCCTATTTCACCTGGTGCAAAGTAAGTTTTAGGTACGAACACAACACACACAAAAGTAAATAAATTTGAGAATAAGGAATCCTTGTATTCCCAAGCACTTTTCTACATTCTCAACACAAAGAAGCACTGAATAGGTATTTGTGGATTTAAAATCATAACAAAAGTAACCAAAGAGATTTATTATTTCAATTACAAATAGTATTTCTCTTCAAAACAATTTATTCAAACCTTAAGTATCTGTCAAATATGAAACACATGTAATTTTGATAGATAACCAGAACAGACAAAATATTAAAAATATTTTTGCCAACAATCTTACCTACTCTGCTCACAGTACTATATATTGATGAATTATGAAACTACCAAAAAGAACAATGGGATGAAAAGATCAGTAACAAATGGATAATAAGACTATTATGAAAGTATCTTTCAGTCATTTGGTACATATTTCTCTAAAATTATTATCATTGAGCAAAAATAATTTTCTTCTCCTGGCTTTCAAAACAAACAAACTCTGCCTTTAGATACCTAGCCATAAACAACTGAACAATACTATGGTTTCAGACTTCAGTGGCATACATACATGAACATACAACCTACTGCCATTGAGACACAAACACACGCACATCCAAACAAAAATCTAAAGATAGGCTGTAACATCCCCACACTTTAGAAGAACACTTAGGGCTTGAAAAAGATACTTACATCAAAGCCAGTATTGGGATCCCAACCAACATGCCCAATATGCCTTTAAGTAGATGAGAGAGGAACAAAAAATGCATAAAGAGCATTAGAAACATGATACACATGAAACCCAAATTTTTGTTACATTCTTTGAACTTTTTGGCCTAAAAGTTTTGAGAACTTTTAATTCTCATAGAGATAACCATGTTCTGAGAAAAAAAACTATGGACAAGGAGTCAGAAATCCAAGATCTACAACTGGCTCTGCTACTGTTGTTGTTGTTAGGTGCTGTCGAGTCGGCTCTGACTCATAGAGACCTTTTGTACAACAGAACAGAACTCTGCCCAGCCGCGCGCCATCCTCACAGTACTTGCTATATCTGAGCCCATCGTTAAAGCCGCTCTGTCAATTCATCTCAATGAGGGTCTTCCCCTTTTTCACTGACCCTCCACTTTACCAAGCATGATATCCTTCTCCAGGGAACGGTCCCTTCTGACAACAGGACCAAAGTAGGTGAGAGGTCTGGCCATTTCCTCTTCTAAGGAGCATTCCGGCTGCATTTCTTCCAGGACAGATTTGTTAGTTCTTCTGGCAGGCCATGGTACTTACAGTATTCTTCCCCAACACAACATGAAAGCATTAACTCTTCTGTGATCTTCCTTACATTGTCCAGCTTTCACATGCATGTGCACACTTAGGATAGGCACATCTTACTTTTCAAAGAGACATCTTTGCTCTTCAGCACTTTAAAGAGGTCATCTGAAGCACATTTACCCAGTGTCACCTGTCCTCTGATTTCGTGACTGCTCCTCCCATTAGTGTTGACCGTGGATCCAGGTAATATGAAATATTTGACAACTTCAATCTGTTCTCCATTTATTGTGACGCTGCATATTGGTCTGGGTGTGAGGACTTTTGTTTTCTTTATACTGAGGTATAATCCATACTAAAGATTGTATTCCTTGATCTTCATCTAAGTGCTTCAAGTCATTTTCATTTTCAGCAAGCAAGGTTGTATCATCGGCATATTGTAGGTTGTTAATGTTTTCCTCCAATCCTGATACCATGTTCTTTTTCATACAGTCCAGCTTCTTGGACTATTTGCTCATCATACAGATGGCTTAAGTATGGTGGAAGAATATAACCATGATGCACACCCTTCCTGATTTTAAGCCAAGCAGTATCCCCTTCTCCTGTTCTAACGACAGTTTCCTGGTCTATGTACAAGTCCTCATGAGCACAATTAAGTGTTCTGGAATTCCCATTCTTTGCAATGTTATCCATAATTTGTTATGATCCACACAGTTGATTGCTTTTGCACAATCAATGAAAGACAAGTAATCTTTTTTTTTTTTTT